TGCTTAGGTATAGTGTCTGAGAACCAGACTAGTTTATACCAAGGCTTCTTCATTCACCTATTCTTTAAAATCTATGTTAAGCCGCTGTCAGCCACATGTAATTGATTATATCAAATTGTTCAAAAGGCTAACTAACCTTGCAAGTGTTGGAGTACGTCTTGGGATTAGAAAATAGTTCATTGACCTCAAAGTGTGTTGCAATTGTCATTTTTCTTTAGATTATTTTTACTCCTACTATTTTGGTATGCAAAAGGAATTAACTAAAAATGCCTACAAGATACAATAAAATTATATTGATTATGCCTTACATCGATGAAACCAACCACTAAATCTTACGATTTCAATTAACAAAACTATCATTTTCATATAAGAATTTCTGTAATATTCATTGGACAAAAAATGATTATTAATTTTATTCTAATAACAGCAGAGTGTTGTTTCATATTGAAATCTATTTACTCTCCATTAGGATTTTATTTTCTATATATAGGACTCTCTTTCAAAAGGATGAAACCAAGGCTGTTTACAAATGATAAGTGTTTTTTTTTATTAAAAAAATACCTCTTTACAAATATGCCCTTTATTTAAAGAGTTTTAACATAAAAATACATCTTTTTATTTATGCCATTTCTAACCATTGTCTTCTTTTATTTATTTTAAAAGTTTCTCCAACAGCAAGTTGATTAATAGTTTATTGTTTTTTTTTTTTTGACAACGGTAATGATTAGAAAGTTAATATGAGTTAGTTGTTAACAACTGATCTTTAGATTAGTTAAACATTTCACCCCTCAAATGAGGTGCGTGACCATCATGTCGTTTTTTGGTAGAGTTCACAACGGTGGTAAAGTTCGAAACTTCGATCACCTCACCAAGCACTTAAGTATTAAGGTCGAATCATTGGATCTAAATATTCGGTCCAATAGTTTACGGTTTTAGTTGTACTGGTTATGACATCTTGAGCAACCACGTACACATCATGTGGACCTCCCAACAATGTACTTAATTGATGCCTTCTTTGTTGTTGACTTAATGTTATTCGATTCCTGAGGTTCCTTCACTGCATATCATCTCCCTACCTTCGGAGCTTCAGATTCAGATCCATCTTCTCTCAACAGAGATGGAAGAAGCATCCACCTTTCTTGAGAAAAAAAGGTACTTGTTTCTGCTGGAATTCGTTATTTTTACACTCTCCATGTTTTCTTCGGCCTTTTATCTTTCCTTCTGTCATCTCTCAGGTATGCAGTGGTTACCGGAGCAAACAAGGGGATTGGATTGGGAATATGCAAGCAGTTAGCTTCCAAAGGGGTGGCTGTTGTTTTGTCTGCTAGAGATGAGAGAAGGGGCATTGAAGCTGTCGAAAAGCTCAAAGAATCTGGTCTCTCTGAATTTATCCTTTTTCATCAACTTGATGTTGCAGATCCAGCCAGTGTTGCTTCTCTAGCAGATTTCATCAAGACCCAGTTAGGAAAGCTTGATATCTTGGTACATCATGGGTTACAGTTTTTCAATCTCTCTATTTTATCAGTATATATTTATTCAATAATGTTTTCCTGTTGCCCTGAAGAATCCATTAGCTGCTTCGATTACATTTACAGAATCAGGGACAGCCATTTATTTACCTAAGTAGGGATTAAGGAATTCACTTTTAGTATTCTGAGTACTAGTTCTTTGTGCTTTTCAAGAACTGAAAATTTCCTAAGAACCCCCAAACTGCTAGCTTCTAATTATTTTATTTTCCCCGCATTCATATGTAATGAAATGCTGAATGATTTTGACATCATCAACCATGTTGTAGGTGAACAATGCAGGAATTACAGGTGCCTTAGTAG